AAAAACCGAAATAATGCATGCATGCACAGTTTCGGTTGAAAACCGAAATAATGCATATGAAAAACCCGAAGCAATGCATACATGCACAGTTTCGGTTGAAAACCGAAATAATGCATATGAGAAAATACCGAAATTATGCATATGCATACTTTCGTTTTAAAAGCGAAATAATGCATATGAAAAAAACGAAGTAATGCATACATGCACAGTTTCGGTTTAAAACCGAAATAATGCATTTGGTAAAAACCGAAATAAAGCATACATGCACAGTTTTGGTTGAAACCGAAATAATGTCTAAATGCACAGTTTCCATATGCGCAATTTCGGTGCCCCGTTTTTTCTAATGGCAGTGTCGCGTGTGTGCCTAAGCATGGAGGAAGCGGTGCATAAATGAGGTCTTCCAGTATTTTTTGCCAGATACTTTCTATATTAACCAAGTATGTATATTCCATGATAAAAATATAGTAAGGTAGAACCGCTGAGAGTCACTTTTAAAATTCTTGACGTTTCCAAACAATTTAATTTTTAAATTTACTCACAAACTCACACACACATTTTCATTTTCAATCTCAAGCAACAACAATTTCGAACAATTTCATTTTTTCTTTTCACTTTTATATGATTTTAAAATGTTGGCAAACTTAAAAAAAAAAATCGTGGCCGACAAATTGAGAGAACGGTTCTACCTTGCTATATTTTTATATCATGGTATATTCTATATACAAATTCGTTATCAATGTCGGATTCAGAACTTAATTCAATTGTTTCCATCTTGCTTGGTTCCCATCGATTTTCACTGATGTAGACATCAGCACGGCATCGTAAACGAGTGCAAGGGAGAGCATGTACGGCCTGGCTTACTATCTGTTTATAAATATCTGTATTCGTATGGAATAATAGCTTATGCCGGAAGGCTGGCTTTAGTATAATGAACCATTCGCAGCATACGATTGCGAATGACTCACTAGCGCCAAGCCGTTGAGGAACTCTTGGCAAATAAACGTGAAAGAAATAGTTCCGATACCAGCAAGTCAATATTCTAAATAAGTACCTAAGGAGGAGATTATGAATTCGTCGGAATATTTTTTGTATGTATGTTACCGCATAATTTTGGACCATGTTAAGCAATTTCTATAATTCATTTTTTTAAAGGAAGGGGTTGCACCTCAGAGGTGAACCCATACTAATTTGGTTTATATCCGATCATTGGATCATGACGGTATTCTTAAATTTGTATATGAGAATTCAAGTCGGTTGTGTTTTTTGCTTAAAAATTAATTGGTTTTTTTTTTTTAAATAACTTGAAGAGAAATAATACATTTATTGGCTGTGTATGTGATAAGAAATTATTTCATTCAGTGCACACATTTAGATATACCACCACCTCAGAAAGGCCGAACCATAACCAATTTGTTTTTTGAGATAATTCTGGTAACTTCTTCTTCTTCTTATTTTGGCGCTGTAACCGCCTAAGCGTTTTTGGCCGAGTTCAGCAAAGCACGCCAGTCGTTTCTCCTCTGTGCCAACTGACGCCAATTGGAAACGCCAAGTGAAGCCAAGTCCTTCTCCACCTGATCTTTCCATCGCAGTGGGGGCCTCCCTCTTCCTCTGCTACCACCAGCGGGTTCCGAGTTGAGCTGGAGCGTCGGTGTCCATTCGAACGACATGACCAAGCCAGCGGAGCCGCTGTATTTTAATTCGCTGTACTATGTCCATATCGTTGTAAAGCTCATACAGCTCATCGTTCCATCGTCTGCAGTACTCGCCGTCGCCAACGCGTAAAGGCCCGTAAATCTTCCGCAAAATCTTTCTCCCAAACACTCCAAGAGCCGCCTCATCGGATGTTGTCATTGTCCATGCTTCTGCGCCATATACCAGCACAGGAATGATGAGTGACTTATAGAGCGCGGTTTTCGTACGTCGAGAGAGGACTTTACTCCTGAATTTCCTACTCAGTCCAAAGTAGCACTTGTTGGCAAGAGTGATTCTACGTTGGATTTCAATGCTGACATTATTATCGGTGTTAATGCTGGTTCCCAAGTAAACGAAATTCTCTACTTTCTCGAAATTGTAACTGCCAACAGTGACGTGGGTGCCAAAACACGAATGTGCTGACTGATTGTTTGATGACAGGAGATACTTCGTCTTGTCCTCGTTTACCACCAGACCCATTCACTTTACTTCCCTATCCAACTTGGAAAAGGCAGAACAGACTTCGCGGTTTTTGTTAGCGATGATGTCGATGTCATCGGCATAAGCCAGCAATTGCACGCTCTTGTAGTAAATTGTTCCTGAGCGGTTCAGTTCTGCAGCTCTTATTATCTTCTCCAACATCAGATTAAAGAAGTCACATGAAAGGGAGTCGCCCTGTCTGAAACCCCGTTTTGTGGCGAACGGCTCGGAGAGGTCTTTTCCAATTCTGACGGAGCTGGTCGTATTGTTCAACGTCATTTTACACAGCCGTATGAGTTTTGAGGGGATGCCAAATTCAGACATAGCGGCGTATAGGTAACTCCTTTTAGTGCTGTCAAAAGCGGCTTTAAAGTCGACAAATAGGTGGTGAGTGTCGATCCTTTTCTCGCGGGTCTTTTCCATTTGCCAGGTCTAAAGCCACACTGATAAGGCCCAATCAGTTCATTGACGGTGGGCTTCAGTCTTTCACACAATACGCTCGATAAGACCTTGTAACCTATGCTTAGAAGGCTGATCCCGCGGTAGTTGGCGCGAATGGCGGGGTCACCTTTCTTTTGGATTGGGCAGAGCACACTTAAATTCCAGTCGTCGGGCATGCGTTCATCTGACCATATTCTGCATAAGAGTTGATGCATGCACCTTATCAACACCTCGCCGCCGTACTTGAATAGCTCAGCTGGCAGGCTGTCAGCTCCAGGAGCTTTGTTGTTTTTCAGCCGCGTTATTGCTATAGGTACCTCGTCATAGTCAGGCGGTGGAACGTCGACTCCGTCATCATCGACTGCGGGCTCGGGTTCTTCTTCTCCACAACTTTCCGTGCTGCTACCATTTAGTAGGGCGGAAAAGTGTTCCCTCCATAATTTAAGTGCGCCCTGGACATCAGTTACTAGGTCGCCATTATTGTTCTTACAGGAGTGCGCCCCGGTCTTTAAACCTTCCATAAGTCGCCTAACTCTCTGGTAAAATTTTCGGGCATTCCTCCTGTTGGCCAGCATTTCAAGCTCTTCGCACTCATGTATTTCGGCCTCTCTCCTCTTGTTGCGGCAAATACGTCTCGCTTCCCTCTTCAGATCCCTATAGCGGTCCCACATAGAGCGCGTTGCGCCCGATCGCAGCGTGGCCCTGTAGGCGGCATCTTTTTTCTCTGTAGCTTCCTGACACTCCTCATCGTACCAGTTGTTCTTTCGGGCTCGCTGAAATCCGACTACTTCTTCGGCGGCGGTACTTAATGAGCGGGAAATGTGGTTCCACTGCTCGCATATGTCGGCTTGTTGAAGAGTGCTCTCTGAGAGCAGGTGTCAGAGTCTAGTAGCGAAAGCGCTGGCTGTCTGTTGTGATTGCAGATTTTCGACGTTAAGCTTTCCTTGCATATTTGGGCGCACATTTTTTGCTGCACAGAGGCGGGTGCGTATCTTGGCTGCAACAAGATAGTGGTCCGAGTCGATGTTTGGGCCTCGGAGTGTGCGTACGTCTAAAACACTGGAAGCGTGCCTTCCGTCTATCACCACATGATCGATTTGGTTTCTCGTTTTTCGATCCGGAGCTTCATGGATCTTTTTATACTTGAACCTAGTACTGCGTACTACCATGTTTCGGGCCCCGGCAAAGTCGATCAGCCTCAATCCGTTGTCGGACGTTTCGTCGTGGAGGCTGAATTTTCCGACGGTGGTTCCAAAGATCCCTTCCTTGCCCACCCTGGCATTGAAGTCGCCAAGCACGATTTTGATATCATGATGGGGGCAGCGCTCGTACGTGCGCTCCAAGCGCTCATAGAAGAGATCCTTAGATGTCTCATCCTTCTCTTCCGTCGGGGCATGGGCGCAGATGAGCGAGATGTTGAAGAATCTCGCTTTGATGCGGATTGTGGCTAGACGCTCGTCCACCGGGGTGAACGACAGTACTCGGCGACGGAGTCTCTCTCCCACCACAAATCCAACACCGAATTTGCGCTCCTTTACATGGCAGCTGTAGTAGACGTCGCAAGGCCCCAGACATTGTTTGCTTTGCCCCGTCCAACGCATTTCTTGGATGGCAGTGATGGCAGCTTTTGTCCTTACGAGGACATCAATCAGCCGGGCACCTTCCCCATTAAGGGTCCGGACATTCCAGGTGCATGCCCTCAAATCGTAGTCCTTTACACGTTTGCCGTGGTCGTCATCATAAGGGGGATCTCATCCGAGGCTTTGCCTTGCTTCTTCACTGGAAGTAGTTTTTACGTGGCGGGTCCCAAGCCCAGCGCACAACCCATTGCTGGGACGGGAGTGGTTTCGCAACCAAATACATGTTTATATAGCGAGCCGCTTGCTCCAAGCAGACACCCGCTTGCAGCCGCACCTACTGGTGAACAGACGCTGCAGACTTCAGTGAGCCCTTAAACCGAATAAGTCAGAGTGGCCCCACCGAAGCTCCCTCTCTTTCTGCCGTGACCTAAGTCTCCACTCGGATTGGTTACCGCATCTCGCACATAGGTTGCTCACGTTGCCCAGAGTGCGCGAACGAGGACGCAAGAGTCGGGATTGAGTATAGCCATGCAACTGTAACTGCATACCCAGCGCAACGACTATACCCCATTGCACTCCCTGGTAATTTCTGGTAACTGGTCCAACAAATAAGATTTCAACCATATTTGGGCTTAGGAGAAATGCATCTAAAAACTTACACTGAATTTAATTAAATGTAATCCAAATTCTATTTTTTCCTTTACAGATCAGAGAAACAAAAACAGGGAACAACAGGTGGATCACCGCCAGAGTGGGATCTTTTTAAAGACATGCAGGCTTTGTTGGCTCCCTATAAAAGCTATCACCCCGAGGGTTTAGTGATGGATAACATAAATAGTAAGTACAACAATCCTTTAATTAACTATTTTATTAAAAATATTTATTAATTTATATCTTCTTTAAGATCTAAATTCTTCAATTATATCCGCACCGTTGTCGCCAATTTCTGAACCATTTCCATCACCGCCCATATCCGTTACTTCGCCGTCCACGTCACCTTCCATAGCCACACCGCTGCCAT